CTCCCCGCAGTTTTGGGGTTTTCTTAATGGAATTGGAAAACGATAATTAATCCTGCGAATCTGGAACGAGAGACGTGGCGCATCCACTTCAAAATTTCCATTGTTCCTGCACTAATGAATTTTCTCTTAATATTTCATAAAAAAAATCAGATTATCGACTCGTAAGTACACGGAAAAAATATTTGAAAAAATCAATTGAAAACTTGTACAAAACTAATTAAAGTTTTGTTGCTATTTAAATAATGTTATGAACGTTTCTAATAATGCATATAAATTGTGATTATTATCGATTGTGAAATATGAAAAAGTAGGTTACATAAATATAGAAATCGCAATAAAAAGACTGATAAAATCGTGAACTGAGTATACATAGTAAATGCACCGCATAATGCCATAAGGAAGAACCGTAAAACCAATATCGTAAAAGAAGAAATAAAAATAAGCAACTAGGAAAACCCATATTCACATAATCTTGAATACATACGCATTCGCAAGGATTTTCATATTCGACGGTTCAGAAAGCCTTTCTTAGTTTTACTGTAATATTTGATATATATTTTAGTAAAAAGTTTGGTTTATAAAGCAAATCAATTTGGTGTAGAATCAAATTTTCAATAAATGAAAGTAATTTAAGCTTTTTTTTAAGTAAAAATATTTAAAAAAAAAATTGAAAATATATGATATTAATTAATTTAAAACTTATAAAATCCAGATAATTACTGATACTAATATTATAAATAATTAAAGTTTTTTTTTTTGGAAATTTATCAATTTTTTGAAAAATTATTTTAGCTTTTCATCTAAACATTACATAGACTTTTAGGACTATCCTTTTTGATTATTATTACTATCACCCATTTACGTTTAATGCCTTAGACATAACCTGCTTAACTTTAATAAGTTGTCAAACAATTTTGAGAAATATAAAGGAATATTTGTAAAACTGAAGAAGTAAAGAAAACACATTCAATAACAAGAAAACTTCTAGAATCTCGATAATTACTCAATTTTTAACAACATCTTAAAAGTAATTATGTTTTCTGATACTGCTATGAATATATTAATAATTACAGTTTTGTAGCTTTTTTTGAAAATTTCAAAAATAAAAAAAAATTGCAAATTTGTTAATTTTTTAAAAATTATCTTTTTTGATTATTATTACTATCACCCATTTACGTTTAATATCTTAGACATAACCTGCTTAACTTTCATAAGTTCTCAAACGATTTTGATAAATCTAAAGGAATATTTGTATAAGTGAAGAAGAAATAAACACATTAAAAACAAGAAAACTTCTAGAATCTCGATAATTACTCAATTTTTAACAACATCTTACAAGTAATTACGCTTTTTGATACTACTATGAATATATAATTATAGTTTTGTAGCTTTTTTGAAAATTTACAAAAAAATATTTACAAATTTGTTAATTTTTTTAAAAAATATTTTAGGTTTTCATCTAAACATTACATAGACTTTTACGACTATCCTTTTTGATGATTATTACTATCACCCATTAGTGTTTAATATCTTAGACATAACATGCTTAACTTTCATAAGTTGTCAAACGATTTTGAGAAACCTAAAGGAATAGTTGTAAAATTGAAGAAAGAAAAACACACATTAAAAAACAAGAAAACTTCTAGAATCTCGATAATTACTCAATTTTTAACAACATCTTAAAAATAATTACGCTTTCTGATACTAGTATGAATATATAATTACAGTTTTGTAGCTTTTTTTGAAAATTTACAAAAAAAAAATATTTGCTAATTTGTTAATTTAAAAAAAAAATATTTTAGGTTTTTATCTAAACATTACATAGACTTTTACGACTATCCTTTTTGATGATTATTACTATCACCCATTAGTGTTTAATATCTTAGACATAACATGCTTAACTTTCATAAGTTGTCAAACGATTTTGAGAAACCTAAAGGAATATTTGTAAAAGTGAAGAAGAAAGAAAAAAACAAGAAAACTTTTAGAATCTCGATAAATACTCATTTTTTAACAATATCTTAAACGTAATTACGCTTTCTGATACTACTACGAATATATAATTACAGTTTTGTAGCTTTTCTTTGAAAATATACAAAAAAAAATTAGAAAAATTGTTGACTTTCTTAAACGTTAATGTGAAATTTATTTCAAATTTATCATCCAAACCATAGACATTACATATACTTTTAGAACTATTCCATCTAATACTTATTACTATCACCCATCTACGTTAATACCTTAGACATAGCCTGCTTAACTTTCATAAGTTGTCAAACGATAAGTTGTCACATGCCATCTATTGTATGATTACAAGACTAATTGAATGCAAAAATGACATGTGTATAATAATTATAAATCGATTTTCGTCGTATTTCGATTAAGAATTGTTACGTTCATCATATTGGAATCGGCTCTCAATGTTGGATCATTCGTACCAATATTTAATCAAGTCGCCCAATCCACGCGAATCGATCGCAGCCGCGTTTCGACTCACCACTCGACGTCTATCCAATAATTGATATTAATTACTGTTTTTGAATTATTTACGCAAATTTAATATTGCGCCGTAATGGATTTATCTGAATTAGGTGCGAATTAATTATCGATTTGCTTCGAATTCATTTCGCTCCGTGCATTAAGCTCGGATTTTGTTATGCATGTAGGATCTGCTTAATGCGATCATTATCCTTAACATCGCTAACTGATTCAGGACACATATATATATAGAGAGAACACAGCGTGTTTTGCAATTGGTAGACAAACCTCGATCAATTGCAGACATTACCTTAGTTATAAAGAGTTAGATTTCAATTAAAAATTATTCAATTATTACAGTTAGTCTTTGATTCACAATAACGCAATTATGTATTGAATGAAACCTAACCTCACTGGCAAAATGGGTTCATTTTACGCTTGATTCGATTTGCGCCGTTAACCAAGGACTACTTATAATAAATACGTAATTTGAAATTAAACGATTTTTCTATTACGCTTTAATATAAAAGGGAAATAGTTTACATTTTTTTATAAATTTTAATAAAGATTAATTCAAGGAACGAAAGTCAACATTAAGTAGACAAAGGAGACGACTTTTGATGGGTTTACAGAGAGCTGGAAATGAGAATTTTATTAAAATTTATTTAGTAAAGCTTCTCGGAGAAAACTTCTTGGAATAAATTAGTTTGAAGATCTTGAAAACGCAGCGAGCACAAACGAATATAACATATTAAAATTATAGTATTTAATAATACTTTTCATATTTCCATCAATAAATCTGTTCAAAATTAGTCTAATTCACTAAACTTCTTAAAATCTTGTAGAAAATATGATAATAAAATTCAACCTTAGAAAATTATTTTGTATTTTCTAAAATACAATTTCGATTTTAATAAAATTCTGGAAATTATTCATTATATTACTCTTAGATAATAAAAAATAGAATACACGAATTGCTACAATATATATTTACAAATTTGTTATTTTTTTTTTAAATTATTTTAAGTTTTCATATAGGACTATCCTTTTTGACTATTATTACTATCACCCATTTATATTTAATACCTTAGACATAACATGCTTAACTTTCATAAGTTGTCAAACGATTTTGAGAAATATAAAGGAATATTTGTAAAACTGAAGAAGAAATGAAAACACATTCAATAACAAGAAAACTTCTAGAATCTCGATAATTACTAAATTTCTAAATTTGTAAAATTGAAGAGAAAAAAACACATTAAAAAATAAGAAAACTTCTAAAATCTCGATAATTACTCAATTTTTAGCAACATCTTAAAAATAATTATGTTTTCTGATACTGCTATGACTATATAATTACAGTTTTGTATCTTCTTTTTGAAAATTAAAAAAAAAAAATTGCAAATTTGTTAATTTTTTATTTAATTATTTTAAGTTTTCATATAAACATTACATAGACTTTTAGGACTATCCTTTTTGATTATTATTACCATCATCCATTTACGTTTAATACCTTAGACATAACCCGCTTAACTTTCATAAGTTGTCAAACGATTTTGAGAAATCTAAATTTCTAAATTTGTAAAATTGAAGAGAAAAAAAAAACATTAAAAAACAAGAAAACTTCTAAAATCTCGATAATTACTCAATTTTTAACAACATCTTAAAAGTAATAACACTTTCTGATGCTACTATGAATATATAATTACAGTTTTGTAGCATTTTTTTGAAAAAATTTCCAAAAAAAAAAATATTTGCAAATTTGTTAATTTTTGAAAAAAATATTTTAGCTTTTCATCTAAACATTACATAGACTTTTAGGACTATCCTTTTTGACTATTAAAACTATCACCCATTTATATTTAATACCTTAGACATAACATGCTTAACTTTCAAAAGTTGTCAAACGATTTTGAGAAATCTAAAGGAATATTTGTAAAACTGAAGAAGAAAAGAAAACACATTCAATAACAAGA